ATACTCCGAATCAGTTTTAGTTTATATCGTGGAGGTCCGTGAGGCGATACATACCAGCAGGCGTGAAATAAGCTCATCCGCAGAGTTTCCTACTAACGATTGGTTTTTACTTAAATCGGGCGCAATTGGTGAAAAGCGTAGCTGCGTGTTGGCTCCCTTACGCCTCCTGGTACCGCCCCGCCGGATTGCGGGTTACAGCTGTAGGTGACTTGGATTCGCAGAAGCAGTCAACGTTCCAGCGTTATCAAAAGGGTTGCGGCAGCATTGTAGGCTACTTTTTCAGAGTACTCTCTGCCAAGATAGCATTCCCTTGGCAAATAAATGTGTGTCCGCAGTGAATTAGAAATATCGGTCAGGAGAATTTGTGTGGAAACAAAACCTGCGAGTGGTAATCTGGACCGCTCCACCAGCTATACTTATCTACCAATGCTTCCCATAAGGGCGCTTAGAGTACATCTAATATACTTATTCTTAGGGACCAAATTGGTCTTAGATAGGACATGGCGCACAAACATTTAAATGGAGCATTTCAAAAAAGTTGAAATTGTTCGGAATTCACAAACCTTGTTGTAAAGAAACCAGTAATGGCAATCAAGGTTATGATAAAGGTTGGAATGACAAGATTCACAAGATAGAAGAGAGGACGACGCCTAGAAACGAAGTATTAGATCACACGTTGTGAATATATCCCGTAGCCTCTGGCTCCTTCGCACCTACTTACCTCAGGAACAAAGTAAAGTTTAAAAGAGTGTAGTTGTTCGGACAACAGACGTAATGCATCTCGTTTCGCACGGCTGTAAATAAAAAAATGACGAAATTTTCAGGAACTGAAAGAAAACAATTAAGCAAGCTTCATTGGTAAAATGAAAAGCATTGCATGCTGTATCCATTGATACAAAAGTAACTAAACAATCAAGCAGATATGGTGGAAAAAGAACGAAGGATAGCTTTTGCCATTGGTCTATCCTACTTCCAATCAGAATCGTTGTAGCTTACTAATGTGAAGTGGCCTATAGAAGTACTAGAGGGGCCAGTGTTTTAGTCCTTCTAGGCGATTTGGCATCAATTCACCATCCCCGCAACATAGAAGGCTTTCCAAGAGTGAGCGGGAACGGATCTGGGATTTGACGCGCAGACCGCGCGTGGTAAGTAGACCGCTTGCTATCACGCCACCTCCACCTTCATATATCCAAGTTTATACGCATATATGAAACCAATTATTTATAGCATATTGACAAGTGGGAAATAGAGATAAAGAGCCTTCCCGATGAAATGAAGTGCAATGCAGCTACAGTTGATAGAAATCACCAGTACCTATCTCCTGTAACGTTGTGGAAAGCGGCTTCAAACCAGAATGCAAGTCAAATTCAATGAACAACAGCGCAGTCGAACCTCATTCAGCGACAGTAACGAACAATCGATGTTCAGAAAACATCGTGATTGGCGTGTGACCCGCGATGACCAATCACAGACTTCCACCACGTGTGCACTATGCTCCACAAGGAGCTACTGTCGAACCTCGCAAGTGCCTTCAGACATCTTCATAGACAGGGGAACAGCTCAAATCAGAATTTGTTTTACTAGTCTCTGCCTTGACTTCTGAGCCGCTGCACGACAGTCGTGACATCTCAACAAAAAAATTGACTTGAACGAGGGCAGGTCGAAAACAAGCGGATAATCTCCACTGAAACTTCGCCTTAAGTGGATATGCGATTGTACTTCTCAATACACCGACCGATCTAAAGGAGGAGCAAAATCGAAGGAGATTCTTGCTGGTTCAGTCTCTGAGACATCAGATAGATTCAAGATAGTTGGACTGTCAGATTACTGGGAACCGATGTCAGAAGATTCGAGACGCGGCGTGCTGCGAGAGCCATCATTGGTCGTTTAAAGACACATGGTACGCTCACACACATTGAGGGTGTATGAGACTATCAGCCCCCAGCTGTCGATGTGTCGTGGTCCCCCCGCCCAAACATGCCCAGGAATGGAGATACAAGGAATCTGAAAACGGCTTTATTCCTCATGCTCGACCTCATACATTGCGGCAGCAGATTCTCGGTCTTATAACATCCGTCTGTAAGCGCGCGTGTGCGTGGGCTTATTTGCACTTTGCCAGTTCTTTATTTCGCGCTGTCAATATACAAGTAAACGCAATGGCTCGGCTGATGTCGGGTAACATTGGAGGTGTAAAAAATAAGAAACAGGACAGGATGAAGAGGCCAGAAGCTTCCCAAGAGCAGACTTCGGCCTGAGTCTGCAGTAATCTCATGAGAGCTGCGGAGCATTCCTACAAACATATGAGAATTAAAAACGCACGCCCGGCGTCCCATCTCGTTTGTTCTAGAGTATTTTCTATGGCTTTGGCGCCGGATTCGTGCGGCAATCGTAGAAATTTACATTTTGACAATTTGCCTTTCTGGTTTTCATTTTTGTTTTATTTCTACTTATACATTGTTGTGCTTCATTTTTTAGCCTTGTGTTCATCTTCAAAAATCTCCTCTGTAGCATGGATTTTGGAAGGCATTGAAAAGTGGCACTAAATTTTATTCGGCTGCAGGAAATTGGGCGTTTTTGCTTGTACGAACTAAAGAGTATGGCCGTTTTTCATTTTCATGTTCGGTGAAATACACGGCTTCGAGGGATGTTCTGAAGTGGACAAGTTGCTCAGTTCTGACGCTCTCGTTCATCATCTTCTGATTTCCTTTATGTCTCAGCCCCTCCATCTGTTTAGCCGCGGCAGGAATTTGGTTTACTTGTTTTGAAAGCGATTAAAGGACTTGGCAAGTCCGAAGGCCGCACGCGACACGCGCGCTTACGACGGGTGTTATGAAGGACGGGGAACTCCGCCGCAAAAAGGTGTAAGGCGGAGCATGGAGGAATTAGCGTGTTTCACGGTCGGTTGTATCCATTCCTGGCATGTGGGCAGGGGACCAGCGTACACATTCGAGGAGGCTGATAGTCTTCATACCCCTCATTGTGTTGTGGCCGTATCTATTGTGTCTTTAAGTAGGTTCGAATTCCGCCAAGGTCGCAAAATTTAGCCTCTAAACCACGTGGAGCGCTTTTTTGAAGCTTACACTGCTAACTGAGCTATTATTATTGTGACTCTAGGGTTGCGATGTCTGGAACGGGAAACAAACAGCAGCTCCCCGCCTTGCCAAGCACGACATGGTCCTACACACATTATCTTGTCCACGAACTACCATGAACCAGCAAAGCAGGGATATGCACGAGAAGGTGAGGCTATTACGTCGCCGTAGGGAACGATCGTTCAGTCGTCTCCCAAGACATCTTTAAATGGAAGAAACAGCTAGTTTCTTCCCATCCGAAAGAAAAGGCGAAGTGGAACTACAAACTCCAAAGTAACCTATAGCAACTCCAATGAAACGAATAAACCAAAGGTAGTGGTGTTAGTAGCATGCGTGAAACAGGTGACAAAAACGTGGCCAGACGCATCCACAAGGCGAACACAGGAAGCAAACGGTGATTGAACTCATGGTTTCGCAAGAAATCATGATGAGTGATATCATCGTGATTGCAAACAGATCAACCCAACAGACTAACCAGAAGTTGCCACCAAACTCCATTCCTCGTTTGGTACATAGTCACTGGTGCCGATGAAACCGTTTGAGCCTAGATTGCACGTGAGAACATGGAAAACAATTAATCGATATCGTACGTGAACTGTGCTCGTACGAAAAGCACTTATAAAGATGCCCATACTTTACTGACAAAGCCATGCTTCGCTGTGCTGCAGTGATATTAAGGGTGAGACTGATAATTTAATCCTTCACGGGCATCAGTATGACAATGGACTTGTTCTTGTTGCAAGCGCAAGTGCGACGGAAAACGGCCTACCATTTTGGATAACCCCATGGATTTTCTCGATAAAAGATTTTACAAAATATCATAGCTATAAGGACCAAATATGATATTAAGTAAGCTACAATCTCACAGGAATAATTCAAAGGAAGAATTTGCAGAAAATAACATAGTAGAAAACAAATCTGAAGCTCAAGTGCAATTTATCGAGGAACTATTCTTTATCTTTCTTTTTTATCTTTGCCTCGACAACAAGGTGGGTGTTACTGAGTAGGACAGGGACCGCATCAAGCTGGCTCCGAGAGCTGCTTCGTATATCCACACTGCTGAAAATGTCACTAACCAGGGATGTCCGCCAACTTACCATGGAACTTTGAAGGTTATTTACAAATTCTGATTCGTGGTTAGAGTCGTGGTAGTTCAGTGGTAAGATTCGACATTTGACGACTCGATTCGACCTATGTGATTCCTCGCCTCCATCCAGCTCACCTCCAATGCCTCCACCCTACTGCACCATTACAAACTTTACCTGCTCATAAGTTGCTTGTGAAATGCAGGTTGCAGTTTTGCTATCTATATTTGTAAATAACCTTATAGACTCTATCGATCTACCCAGGTCTCCATTCAAAGTTCCATGGTAAGTTGGCGGACTTCCCTGATAAGACTGCTGAGGGTAAATCGCGATCGTGGCACATTCCCTAGAGAGGTTGGGTAGGGTATCCGTTTCTGAATTCTTTTTACCTCGAAGGGAAGAGGTTTACTGAGAGCGTTGCGAGGTTTTAAGATGGAGCAATGGCTCCCGAGCGGTGGTGATTTGGAATGGGAGCACCCGGAAACCGAGACCAAACTTTCGTCTCAGACTTGGGCGGCTCCGCCAGTCACTTTCACAGTAAACGTGGTACATCCCTGTGGTTAAGACTTTTTTTTGTGAATTTTTTAGCTTATCCACGGAGAATATTACGCACATTAGGTTATTCGGCGTGTGTTGAGGGAATGAACTGCATATAAAATATTCAGTCGCTTGCTTTCTTTCCAGATTACTGAAGGGTCACTACAGGTGCTCAGAGTAAAAAAGAGTGCGTGCTCTAACCAGATCAGAGTGAGTTAGTTATCATGCAGAACTACTGTTAAGAAGTGAAAGCTGTTGCATACCGGATGTTCCCATCAGGCTCCATCCTTCGCTGGGTAGAAAGTTGGCTGTACCAACAGCGCTTTCCAAAGAATGGTAGTCAATGTCGTGGTTATCCGAAGTCCAACTTCCAAATATCATATGACATTCTTGTGAGTCGAAAGGGAAAAACTGTAACAGTAACGCTGTAAGACCAGGAGAAAATTACCAGTAAAACCGATCAAATAAACCTGTAAGTAGAGCCTGCAGTGAAATTTATAAATAGCTGGATAGAGAAACTCCACGTATGATCGGCGTTTGTCATACTCTGTGGTGACCTTCGCATATAGAAGTCGCCGTTGGTCATCGTCTTTCATAACCAGCCTGCAAAAAAAGAGTCGAATCGATATATCGATCGTAGAATATGCTAGCTTACGTGTTGTAGAGTGTGGTGTCTGGTATCCAAATGGTACTGTGATGCATCTTCACCTCTGTGATATTATCGTATTTGGCTGGGTCCCAGAAAATGAATTCGTCGTACCACCGTTCAATCACCCAAGCTGATATGGACACGTATTGCTGACGTTCGTTCTACAAAGTACGATTTTGCAATACTTTGACAGTTATAAGGAGAATATCTCTCTGAAAACTAATGGCTACTTGAAAGTACTTTCATGGGAGATTGAAATTAAAGGCACGGTCCGCGATAAAAAGCCTAGGTGATTTTGCAGAAATGTGGAAGAAAATTCGCCAAGTGAACCATCTATGAAGAGAAAATGCCAAAGGGAACGTTGGAAACGCATTCGTCAGGCCTCCTCTAGCCTCAAACAACTGTAGAGGTAAAAGACCGAAAAGACCGCGCGCTGGGACAATTCCCGTCGGCTGATTCCCAGTAATGAACCCTATGACTCTACAAGAGACATTGAATGCATCCACTCCATGATACTTGCCCGGGAGCATTACTTTTGGCTGGAAGGCCGACTTTGGAGGCGGAGTCTGGAGGCGGAGTCACTGGAAAAAGGGATGTACCACTGAAGCAACTTTGCGCCTTAATCCCTTTACCGTACAACTTTTCGCCGCGAACCTCTCCTTTAAGGTAGAGGCCTTATGGTATCAAAGCTCACACACTGGCAAGAATTTTCTAATTTTCAGCTTTTTTTCGCGCCGACAAATACAGCGACAAAAGCCGACGTACCACTGAAATAAAGCAGCGAAACCGCCAACGCCCTAAACAGGGTCCCAGCGTTCCAATGAAAAGACGAAGACTCGTTTATAGTTCAAACCAAACAACAGCAGCAAGAGAGCAGAGAAATGAGCGAAACAACTGGTTTCAACGTGGGGCGGATTCACTTGAGAGGAGCCAGTTGAGCTACCGCTTTGCGCGGCTAGATGGCCTTACAGGTGCCTCCCTAACCACAGCTGGTACATTGGTAGCCTATTGCGGCTCCAGGGTAACTCTTTCCTCCAGGGCGTGCTCTTTCCTCTCGGGGCTTTGATTTTCCTAAGTAGGCCGAAGTTTATCTGCTAAGTTGCAGCCTGCGTGATTCCAATCTAGTGCCAAATTGGTCCCCCGGGCATAATATTGCAATAAGCCTGCGCAAATGAACTCTGGTATGGTTCAGTTACGACTGAGCTGGTCACTCCCTTCGCAGTGGACTGCTGCGGAATACTGAAACCATATTGAAATGAAAGCATAGTCCTTCAGCAAACAAGCTGAGATTATGAGGCAGTAATTTTTACATGCCAGCCACTGGAGGAAGCTGGACCTCACGCTAAACGGGCTTGTGTGCTAACCAGTAGACCACTACATCTCAGCCTGATGGCTTTTTACCGTGGCTCATAAGCACTCACCCGACAAAGAGCCGGTTAGCCAATAACGGCAGAAGGCCCCGGAAAATTGAAAGCTTTACTCGTTTTCGAAAGTCAGTAGTGTACTTTATGACCAATACTGTAAAACCCACAAGCTCTATAACTTGATAGAGTTCCATTTTGAACTTGACGTCAACTGGTTCTCCCATTTTACGCTTTGGTCGTACTATGTCCGGAGTCCTCCGTTTTCGAATTCAGACGGCAGAAAATCCTAACAGCGTTGCAGAAGTGGTTCGGAAGATCTGAAATAGATGTTTCAAACGAAATGATCTCCATTTGCAATAATAAGGGTGGTCGACTCGAAATTACCTCACCAGTGGCTGGTTCTCTGAGCCGTTACCGCAATATTGTTATGGCAAAGGCAGAAAAGTGATTTTCATCCCTAAAAATGGAATATAATTACTGCATACTCTAAAAGTTATCAAAGAAAGCATCGACACGAGAGAAACGTTAGCGACGAAGATGGGAAAAATCATTGAAGTCGAAACAGGGGAAAAAAGGAAGCCATGTTCACAACACTTGGAGGAGCATTCGGTGAACCTCGAAAAGGTCAAAGCTAGCGGTAGTTTAAAAACAAAAGTGCCGGCTGTATTAGTTGACTACCTGCGACAAGAAAAGCAGGTCAGACTGTTGAGAAGATCCCGAATAAGACCTCTCTGTAGAAAAGGGAGTCGAGGAAACGTTAAGGTTTTGAGCGAGATACCAGACAAGAGGAGCGAGAGAGAGCATGCAAACAAGCGAAACGACAGACACACTAACGCAGAGCGGAATAACCTGCGCTTCAAAGCGCGAGCAGCCTTCAGCAGTAACCGGCTTGTACCCTACAGAGAACGACGAGAAGCTGGTACAAGGTTGTTCACTGCAGCCCACACTGCCTTTCCCACACTAGCTTTGATACTTGTAATTAATTAAGGAAAGTTTATACGATGTGAGGAAAAGTTTTGATAACATTCAAAGAAGGAAATCACAAGGAGAGTTGAGGAAAGGAAGCTAATTAGTTCGTGGGTAACCTGAACATTTGAATAGAAAATAAATAATTTGGGCGGCTGCCTTGATGCTTGAAAAACATCACGTAAAGTGTATGGTTCCCCGACGTAGGCGCCCACGGAGATATAACCTGACGAATCTTAAAGGCTACCAAGTAATCAAGCTGAGAGAGAAGGACATTAATGAAGGAAATACAGATGTGATAAGGTAGCAGGCCCGTCGTCTAGCAGGACCCGAGTTTTGATATGCTCGTAGAATGAACTTTAGTCTCTGTAGAAAAACTTATTTTCGATAAGTGCTTGTTGCACCCTCCTTTCCAAAGCTGCTTGCTTGCACGCGCCTTTCCAAACTCTGTACTTCCACAGCGAAAGAGGCGCTCCGGGCCCCAGGAGGAGCCTATGGGTTAGTCAGAACATCAACTAATGAATGGCCGCGTCCTCTGATCCCTGCGTGTTCATGGTGAGCCAGAGCTGCTCAAAGCAGAAAGCACGATAATTTCGGTACTCGTTCTCAATTGTTACGTAGGGGGTGCTAATTAGGTCTAAGAAAAATCGGTGAAAAAGCAAAGTGAAACGGTCAAAAATCCGCAAAAAGCATTGTTCTACTCGACTCACGAGACAATTTCGGACGAGTCTCCCTGCTGCTACCGTGCCCGCTTGTGGTAGATACGGTTGTATGTACGTGCTCATACATCCATACAGAACGCAGCGCGCTATCAATATCAGTCCTTCGCTTCATATTTGTACTTCTCAAATGAGAACCAAATGCACGAAATCAGGCATGCGTCGTGCGGAACATTTTGCGGGGCGATCAAGTGCGGTGGGGGCGTCCCGGGTCCGGTGTGTTTGGAGCTCGATAGGCGGCGCTAAGGGAACTTCCTTGAAAAGCGCACACGCCAGCGCCTGTCAGGGCGCCGAAATTTATCCTGTTTTAATCCTACTCGTTGTGGAGATTCACCGTGCCACTTGCCTTTAGGTAGCTTTTCCAATAAATTCGGTGAGTTTTTGTACCTTTCCGCGTCATAAACGCTACGTAAAAGCCAGCAGCTTCTTCATTATAACAAGGACCGATTCAGGGGCAGCATCACCGGTTGTTAACGCGAAGATTAAGGCACTGGCTAGCATTCGGACAGAGCGTGACAGACCTAAGCACCAATCGCCGTTTATTGAAAATCAGGCCAGTTTTTTTTTGGAACATCGGCGCACGTTGATTTTTTTTTCTTCGCTCTTGCCACCGCACCCTCCATGAAATAGGAGATACCTTGAAAAAAACGAACAGAGGCATCGGCATTGGTTCAAGTCGGTATGTCAAGGGACTATTCAGCTGAAGGGTATTATAAACCACATGAGGGTAGGGTAATACATAGAAATGAAAACACATCGACAACATGAATTATATTCTAAAGTGCGTCATAATTTCTATAAAAACTACGATATATTTCCCTCCTTTACCCCTAAATCATACAAGTGTAGTAATTTATGTTACAGCGGTACAAATAAATTGACTCGAGTTCATTACAGTAAATCACTCAGTTCATTACTCTACCACTTACCTAGGTTCCTTGTGTATTGCGAAACAAGATGTAATCCGCAACGTTGTTCGTAATATTTTCACCAGATTCTGTCCCCGGAAGCCAGCTGTGGCTAAAAAACACTAAAAATACTACCACCCCAAGCCTCCCCCCCCCCCTCGAATCTCTCCCTCATTCCCATCCCCCATCGCACTTGGAACAGGAAAAATCGATCAAAGTCAAAAAGTCTAAACAGCCGAAAATACCTTTCACCAATGCAAGCACGACCTCGATCCTCCTCCGTCCAGCGACTAAATACGACCCCCCCCCCCACCTCAATGGATATTCCAACGTACGATGTGCCTGTTCAAATAATGTGCACAGCCACGCCTTCCCCCTCTGCGGGAAACCTACTGCCTATACATGGTCGTTGAGATCCCAATGGAGATTAGGCTGGGAGCACCGTGTTTCAGCAGTTACAGGGTACCCTGAAGGAGTGGTGCTTTTGCTATATGGTTGCCATGGTTCACGATTTATTTCTCATGATCTAACCCTAATGGTAAGATCCCATGCGCTTCAGTCCGACGGACTCCGAAGCACTAGGATTGAGGGGAGAGCTCAAAGTAAATATTTTCAGTATCCATTAGTGTCACTTTATCCTTCAGGCTACACGCTCTACGAGCAGACAATTTTTTGGCCGTAACAAAAAAATTAAGTGAACTCAGCAGGACGAAGATTCAGATTACCATGACTCTTTGAATGGAAACCTGGGTGAGTCGATAGCCTTGGAATGCCGGTTAAATATAGAAAAGATTTGCTGAGCCACATAGATGTGTTTTGAGCAGTCAAAGTCCCCAAAGTTGATGGAAAGTCCCAAAAGTATTGAAGTGTTTAGATGTGATATTTGTGTCCAGGGATTTGAATTATCCCTGGGGACGGACTTCTAGCTAAATTGAGATTCTGGCCAAATCTTTGAAAACGGTCTTAAAAGACAAATAGTGCCCTCATAGCTTATCGCTGAAGTCCTTTATCTTGTACAAGGAGTTCTACGGGATCGAAGGAGGAAACGTTCAGAATTTAAATGAGCAACCCAGGGCCGGCAAGAATTATTGCAAAATTAAGGAAAATCATTGCAAGCAGCAGTTTTTGCAGCCTCAAATTCAGCGGAAAGTATTTTGAGGGGTTTGGTACTGCGCAACGGCACGATGGTCTACCTAGATACCCTGCTTATACTGTAGCACTGCATTGCACTACTGTGGACCATGGAATAATGGACGCTCTATAACGCGCTGGTGAGATCCAGGTAGCAATTTTCGTTTCCTTATTCGTGAGCAGCGTCCCAAACTCTACTTATTTTCCATTCAAGATTCCATAGTGATCCTTCGTTAGTAATCACAAGTTACAGGTCAAATCATTGCGGACCCAGGTTTCGAAGGACCATTCAGACCACAGAGCAGGTAGGGATCGGTGTCCTCGGAACTGTTCTATGAGATGAACAAAAAATACCAGGCAGAACATAGACAGAGCGCTGCCAGGATTCAAGATGAAAGAGGGCGCCGACCGTGGACCGTGCCCATGCCAAATACAGAAAAAAAGAAGAAAAATTGCTATGTTCTCTCCAACCAAGATGGGCGGAGCTTCTACTGGCACGTTGCTTGGTAATTCGGCTGGAACATTAGTTGCAGGCAGGAAAAAAGAGTTAACAGACACCACTAATATACTTATAGAAAGTCGTTTTTTTCACCAGGAGGAGGAGAGTTTTCACCAAGGAGCGTAGGTGCCAACAGCGCTGCTTTTTCCGTGCACTATCAAATGCTGGATCATATCTTGCCTAAACGAGAAAGCCATCGCAACGCTCTTACGAAATAACTGTAAGTATTAGGTTGTCCGGAAAGTTCTCAGCGTTTTGGGTGTTTCACTTTAAACGATCGTAACTTTTTTAATACTCATCGGATTTAATCGAAATAGCACCATTCGAATCAGCACACTTTTGCCAATGTGAGGAAAAAAACAGCAGTCGAGAAATCCCATCAAAGTAAAAAACTGGGTGGTCGAAAATTCACGAAATCCACTAAGGCTTTTTTGCCTGGTCCTGATTGATGAAGTATTTTCCAGCAAGGGAGTTCTGAAAATGTTAGAAAAGGTGATAGTCGGTTGGCGAAAGGTCTGAAGAATATGGCGGTTGAGGTAGAACTTCAACCCCCAATTCGTTCAATTTATGGATAGTGATTTGTGAAACGTGTGGGCGGGCGTTGTCATGCAAAGGAATCGGACCCTTTCTTTTGATAAGTGTTGGCTGCATCTGACAAAATTTTCGGGTACAATTCGTCGATTCTTCACCAGTAAGGGTCATGCGGCGCGATGTTTTGGCCTGGTGATAAAAATTATAGGTGTGGATCACACCAGCCGATGACCACCAAGCCGTGACAGAAATCTTTTTTCGTGAGGGTTCGGCTTTGAAAATTACCTCGGTGGTTCGTCGAAATCCAACCACTGTCCGGAACGTCTCCTGTTATCATACATGACCCATTTTCATCACAGGTGACAATTCGGCCCAAAACAGGTCGTTTCTGCTGCGCAAAAGCAATGCAGAAGGAACCTCGAGACGTGCCGATTCCTGCCGGTCACTCCGATTGTGGGGCACCCAATTGT